CCCAGGGAGCTATGCCTCCTGAGCTGCAGGTGGTTTTAGGACTGTGCACTTTTTGGTTTCATAACGAAGCCTAAGTATGTCAATGTCTATCGTAGAGATTATCCTTAGCCTTCTCCATGGGCCAGAAATTGGAATTGTGGCAAAATTTTTGTCATTATATTCTCAAGTATCTGGTAGATAACAAATAATTATAGAATACATGAATTGTGCTTCGTTTCCTCAATTTCATCCATCTCTCTCTATAATGGTGTTGTGTGAACACAGAAGTCATTTTTAAAAGTTATTTTGCATCCTAAATTTTAAAAAGTTTAAAAGGTTTATCTTAAATTGTTCAAACAATAAATTACATTTTTCTCCTATGCTCTCCCTCCCTACCACACTTTGAGTCACCCCCCCCCCCTTATATCAGAGAAAACATTCGGCATTTTTTTGGGGGGGATTGGCTAACTTCACCTAACATAATCTGCTCTAATGTCATCCATTTCCCTGAAAATGCCATGATCTTATTCTTTTTTAGTGATGAGTAATATTCCATTGTGTATAAATGCCACATTTTTAAATCTATTCATCCACTGAAGAACATCTAGGCTGGCTCCACAGTTTAGCTATTGTGAATTGTGCTGCTATAAACATTGATGTGGCTGTGTCCCTGTAGTATGCTGTTTTTAGGTCCTTTGGGTATAGACCGAAGAGAGGAATAGCTGGGTCAAATGGTGGTTCCATTCCCAGCTTTCCAAGGAATCTTCATACAGCTTTCCAAATTGGCTGCACTAATTTGCAGTCCCACCAGCAGTGTATGAATGTACCTTCCCCCCGCCCCACATCCTCGCCAACACTTGTTGTTGTTTGACTTCATAATGGCTGCCATTCTTACTGGAGTGAGATGATATTTTAGAGTAGTTTTGATTTGCATTTCTCTGATTGCTAGAGATGATAAGCATTTTTTCGTATATTTGTTGATTGATTGTATAACCTCTTCTGAGAAGTATCTGTTCAGAAGATTACCTCTAGATAGGGAATGGGGATGGGAGGGAAAGGGGGGGGGAAGGGGAATAGCAAAGATGGTGGAAAGAGAGGGTCATCATTATACAAAATACATGTATGAAGATGTGAATTTGGTGTCAACATACCTTATAAACAAACAGAAATATTATAAATTGTGGTGTAAAGGTGTATTAAGAATTGTAATGCAAAAAAAGGGGCAGCTCATGTATAAAGGCATAATTGAGTGTGAACATACTTTATATACAGAGTTACAAAAAATTGTGCTGTGAATGGATAATTATGAATGCAATGCATTCCACTATTGTCATGTATGTAAGAAATTAAAGAAAAAATTTTAAAAAATAAATTATATTTTGTTAAATGAGAGTTCATTTTAGACTCCATGAAACATATCCATTTCATTTTAGCATAGTACAAATCAGTAGTTTATAATGACACAGAATTTTGTTCATTTTCAGTTCTTGGATAACTATGTCACTTACAGGGAAGAAAAAAAGTCCCAATGAACACAATTAGGAGAGCTTCCTCCATTAAAGTTGGACCAAGTTGGTTGCTTATGAAACTAATGTGTTTTATTAATGTACCCAACTGATAGTGCTCAGGGGTGAGTGACCCTGTGATTTTGATTCTTGGGGAATTAAAACAGTCATTAGGGAGGTCTTCAAAGCTATCTCTTTGGTAAAGGGCAAACTTCTGGGCCATTATTCTGCAAATAGATGTGGAAAATAATCATTCCATACTTTATTAGGAAGATATGGAAGTGCTGCTGTAAGTTATATCTTGCTCCTGCACATGACTACTGAACCCACACTATCATTGTGACTCCGGGCAAGTTGCTTAATCCTTCTGTACCCAGTTTCTTCTATTGCCAAACGGAGATAAGATTGTAGTAAGATCGGGGCAAGTTAGTGCACGTAGAGTGCTGAAGACATTGGCAGGCCCCTGTTGAAGTGCTTGCTTGAGTTATTATTTCGTGTCTAGCACTGCAGCAGGATCTCAATGCACAGCCACTAAAAGCCCTGAACCCAGAATCCATCACTGAACTAGCTCCAGGACTTCTGGAAAATTATGTAACTTCTGCAAACCTCTGTTTCCTCATCCATGCAATGGGTATCAATACCTACTGGTGAAATGAGGGTTGCGTGAAATTGAGCTGTGGTTATGGGCACCTGTAACATTTGAACTGCTCTTCTGTTCGGCCCCTGGGACACCTCAGCTGACAAGCAAACATAGTCCATGCACAGCAGGCACAGCTCCTGAGACTGTAGGGCAGGAAGGACAGTGGGAAGCCACCTAGGTCAAGTTCAATCATATGTCAGGAAACAAACCAGGGCCTGAGACAGAGGGGGTAAAACAACTTATGTGAAGGCACCCAACCAGTTAGCGACAAAGAAGCACCTATATTATAAAAGAAAACTATAAAGTGTCTCTGTGTTTCATACATGTATACTATTGGCCCTGTGTGCGCTTAGGTTCCACATTTTTGAATTGAGCCAAGTATGGCTCAGAAAATAATGTATAAACATTTTTTTTGTCATTGTTCCCTACATAATACAACAACAAACTATAACAACTATTTACTTCGGATTTATACTGTGTCACATATTATAAGTAATCTAGAGATGATTTAAACTATACAGGAGAACGCATGTTTATTATAAGCAAATATTACACCATTTTATATAAGGGTCTTGAGCATTTGCAGATATTTGGTATTCATGGGGTGTCCTGGATCCAATGTGCCCACAGGTACCAGAGAATGATTCTATTCACATTGTGTTATTTTGCAGTAGCATAGTGCTTTTTATTGCAGGATTTGGAAATACTTCCTGAGATCCCACTGTTACTACTGTGGGGGACAGAGAAGCAAGGATAAATTAGACTCAACAACCAGTATGCTGTCCCCACTAACTATCTTTACAAACCCTGTCACACACAAAAGTTTTCTCTGGTCCTCTGCAGATAAGAAAGGCGTGGGCTGGGGCAGCTGTGATCTATGGGGTCCTGGGACAGAGGCAGCCAGCACCAGGAGTCCTGGGCATCTTTCCAATGACTATTTTGGTTTTTAATGAAAAAAATCAGTGTTTTTAAAATCAGCATTCTTTCACACTACTATTGCACATCGGAAAAGAATATCTCCAAAGGGCCAAATCAGACAAATATTCAGAATATAGAAAATAGTCTCAGTGCCTAACCTCCCTTGGAGGCCCACTTAGCCACATGGGTAGGGGCCCCTGAGTGACCGTGGACTGACTCAGATTGATGACTCCAGGACCAGGATGACTCTCTGAAGAGCAGGCTTTGCTGTCCTTCCTGATGAACAGCTCTCGCTCAGCATGGTGGCTACCGCAGCAGGGTTAGAGTTAGGGGACTGACCCAGCCACCATGTCTCTGGAACCAGCACCGGTCCACCCTGGTTCCTGGAGAACTTCACTCCACTCCTGGAAAGAATAGAACTTTACCCACTTCTGAAGTTTGACACTGCTTTATTTTTTTTCCAGAGGAAACAAATGTAATCAAAATATGATTTCCAACACAGTGAATTTCCTAGGGAAGGAAAAGATAGTGAAGAGTCCCATGAGGTCTGACAAGTCACGTAACAGAGAAACTGCTTACAGGATATTTTAAAAGGAAATGTGTTGTTTTCAGAAGGACATGTCCACTTTCATTTTCAGCATACTCGTGGCCATACCAGACAAAACACTGACTTTAAAATGACCAGATCCCAGGGCCAGATAAAAGGAGATATTATCTTGAAGATGAACTTCTGACACTCCCAGATTTGTGCTTAGTGTTGGAATCAGTGGTCACAAATTCAGATGCTCACCTGTCCCCTCTCCCTGCTCCACTGGTGGAGAAGAATGACCTGTGTTTCATAGGCAGGAAGTAGCTTTTTCAAATGCCTCCAAGCATTTCCATTTCAGAATGACTTACACTCATGCACAATAGAGGCCTCCATACCAGGTATTACATTAGAGTGGAATTTATACATTACACATATATTCACGGATCTGCACACACCTGCATATAACCACACATTGGTATATATGTTTGTGTGTGTGCATAGTTGTGGTTGGTTATGGGGGGGGGTTAGTTCCAAGACTGTGTGGTTATTGAAAACTGAGCATGATCAAGTCCTTTATATAAATGGCATCGTATGTGCCCTGTGTGCATCCTCCTGTATACTTTCAGGGCTCTGAATCCAGTTTGGGTTCCAGTTACGATAGGAGTGTGGAGGACAAAGCAATCTTAGTGAGGTTCTCTTACTGGGGACTCAATGAAAGAAGAAGGTCGGAACAGAGATGGCCAAGGAAGTGCAAATGGATCCAGCAGATGGATCTGTTGCTAAGTCTTAGCGTTAAAGCTCTCTGCAGGGGTTGTGTTGTGGCTCAGTGGCGCAGCCAATGACTCACATGCTTGAGGCACTGGGTTTGAGTCCCAGCACCACATAGAAATAAATGAATAAAATAAAGGTCCATCAACAACTGAAAAAATTTTTAAAAAGTATCCCCTCCTTTTTTTCTAAAGTTCTCTGCACATTAAAATAATAAATCCCTCTGCGTTTTTTTCCTCCTCTGTACAAAGGGAATGGGTAACCATGAAAATAAAAAAGGTTTGACACATAGGAAGTACCCAGCAACAGATAGCATAGTTTAGAGTTGCTTTCATGGTTAGAAAAGTTCCAGGCTGATTGGGGACAGAAGGCCTGGGAGCTTTTACCAGGATGGCAGAGGGTGAGTCCAGAACTGGTTCAGGGAGTGACTCCCTCCTGATGACCCAACCAGATCCCCCACTGTGACAGGACCAGGCATGCTACAGATGGTTTTACCTGGGTCACCCGGGGTGAAGCAAGCGTTCGTGATCAGCCTGAACAGCAGCCACCAGTGATAACACAAAAGGCATCTGGGACATGCTTATGAGTTCGATTTCCTCCCACAATCGTGACAAGGTTTAAAGGAAGGAGTTTCACACTTTGGCACAGTTCACCTTGACACAGTGAACAAGCGTGTTCCATGGCTGAACCCTTGGGGGACAGGCCAGGTTTATTGCATGGTGCTTATTTCCTCGGTGCCCCCAGGTGAGTCATTGTACCTTTTTTTTTAATTTTTTTTTTATTGGTTGTTCAAAACATTACAAAGCTCTTGACATATCATATTTCATGCATTAGATTCAAGTGGGTTATGAACTCCCATTTTTACCCCAAATACAGATTGCAGAATCACATCGGTTACACATCCACATTTTTACATAATGCCATATTAGTAACTGTTGTATTCTGCTACCTTTCCTATCCTCTACTATCCCCCCTCCCTCCCCTCCCATCTTCTCTCTCTCTACCCCATCCACTGTAATTCATTTCTCTCCTTGTTTATTTTCCCATTCCCCTCACAACCTCTTATATGTAATTTTGTATAACAATGAGGGTCTCCCTCCATTACCATGCAATTTCCCTTTCTCTCCCTTTCCCTCCCACCTCATGTATCTGTTTAATGTTAATCTTTTCTTCCTGCTCTTCCTCCCTGCTCTGTTCTTAGTTGCTCTCATTATATCAAAGAAGACATTTGGTATTTGTTTTTTAGGGATTGGCTAGCTTCACTAAGCATAATCTGCTCTAGTGCCATCCATTTCCCTGCAAATTCTATGATTTTGTCATTTTTTAGTGCTGCGTAATACTCCATGGTGTATAAATGCCACATTTTTTTTATCCATTCATCTATTGAAGGGCATCTGGGTTGGTTCCACAGTCTAGCAATTGTGAATTGTGCTGCTATGAACATAGATGTAGCAGTATCCCTGCTCTTTTAAGGTCTTCAGGGAATAGTCCAAGAAGGGCAATAGCTGGGTCAAATGGTGTTTCCATTCCCAGCTTTCCCAGGAATCTCCATACTGCTTTCCAGATTGGCCGCACCAGTTTGCAGTCCCACCAGCAATGTACAAGAGTACCCTTTTCCCCACATCCTCTCCAGCACTTGTTGTTGTTTGACTTCATAATGGCTGCCAATCTTACTGGAGTGAGATGGTATCTTAGGGTGGTTTTGATTTGCATTTCTCTGACTGCTAGAGATGGTGAGCATTTTTTCATGTACTTGTTGATTGATTGTATGTCCTCCTCTGAGAAGTGTCTGTTCAGGTCTTTGGCCCATTTGTTGATTGGGTTATTTGTTTTCTTATTGTTTAATTTTTTGAGTTCTTTGTATACTCTGGATATTAGGGCTCTATCTGAAGTGTGAGGAGTAAAAATTTGTTCCCATGATGTAGGCTCCCTATTTACCTCTTTTATTGTTTCTCTTGCTGAGAGAAAACTTTTCAGTTTAAGTAAGTCCCATTTGTTGATTCTTGTTATCAACTTTTGTGCTATGGGTGTCCTATTAAGGAATTTGGAGCCCAACCCTACAATATGTAGATCGGCGCCAACTTTTTCTTCTATCAGACGCAGAGTTTGTACCTTTTTGACCTTAACTTTCTGATCAGTACAGGAAGGAAGGGGGATCGTCAGGGTGTTCGTTAAGATACCCTGCCACTAACTCACCTCTGTGGCTGTCCCAGCAGCCTTGGTCTCCGGGGCTGAGACTCAGGATTGGTTGAAATGAGTTGAATCTACCTGGAAAGACAAGGTGGGGGGCATCAAATGTGCAAAGCGCAGAGGGCAGCATAGGAGACGACCACAGTGAACTGCTAGGTTGATGGTCATGGGACCAGGGGTGAGTCAGGGGAGCGCAATGGAGGTGTAAGCTCATAGTCCTTATTAGCCCCCTTCTGCACTTCTCCCCAGTACAAAATGACACGGAATTTTACACACATGGTCCAGTCCCTTCTAGATGGAGACCAGAAGTCCCTTCTCATCCAGAATCTGACCGAAGTTACTCAATACATTTTTTCCTTTTCTTTTTCTTTCTTTTTTTCTTTTTTTTTGTGTGTGTGCGTGCATGTGTGTGTGCATGTGTGTTGGCGGGGGTGGGGAGGGGGTGCTAGGGATTAAACCCAGATTCACTTGAATGCTGGGCAAATGCTCTACCACCGAACAACATCCCCAGTCCTTTTGTTATTTTATTTTTGGATATGTTTTTTTTTTTCTAAATTTCCCAGGCTGGCCTGAAACTTGGAATTCCCCCTGCTTCACTCCTGAGTAGCTGGGATTACAGGTATGTACCATCACACCTGGCTTCAGTTAGATTTTTAACATGAAATGCTATCATACTTCATGTCTGGAATCTCAAACTCTCAGAGTGACTTCACAGATTGGAAGTAGTGAATCACCACTGTTTCTCCTTTCCAAATATGTTAATGTTCAGGTATATGGTAATGTCAGTCCACAATACAGATGACGTTAAGTTTGGGTGGGAAAAAGTGAAGGAGCCAAGCAAGTAGGAGTGTCACGTATCTTCTCAAACATCTTGATTAGCACTAAGTGCAGGTTTTCTGGAATGAAAACATTTGGGATCCACAAGGAGCAGGACAAGTTCAACAGCATATTTTTCTCCTTTGCTGGATTCTCTGCGCTAGATTTCTTAACAGACGTTTGCTAACAGCGTTTACGAGTTTACCTCCTGATATTGTGTTCCCTTTTCATTTCTGTGATTAAATAGGGATTTAAATCCTGGAACTGAGTTTCTATGGAGAGTGAGTGGTTTCCCCAATCCAAATCATTCATACAGACACATGAGTCCTAAAACCTTCTAGAAATGCTTCTCTTTTTTCTTTTTTGTGGTGCTGGGGATTGAACTCATGGCCTTATGCATGTGAGGCAAGCACTCTACTAACTGAGCTATATCTCCAGCCCTCTTCTAAAAATCCTGAGGAAATAATCAGGCAATTACAAATGTCCTAACATGCTCACATATTTCCTCACCCCATAATAAGAAAAACCAGCAGTGTAATCACCACAAAAACCGTGAGATCTAAATGTTGTTCACGTCATCCTTATGGAGTTCTGTTTCTGTTGAATGCAATGTATGTGTTTATTGTATGCATCATTTTTGCCAAAGACTCAAGGAATAATTAAGGATATAGAAGAAAATAGAGTTCTCCTCCTCCTCCTTCTCCTCCTTCTTTTTCTCTTTCTTCTTCTTTTTTATAAACCTATATACCTATACCCACTTCCTCCTCTTTCCATCAGACATTTAAATTACACTTAAAATTTGGTGTTTGGACTTTGGGATCTTTTTCAAGACATGACATTCATGAATACATTCCCTTATGTTTTTACATGTTATCTTTACATAGTGCTTCATTCATTCATTCAAAATATGTGATGACCTCGAAGAAGATAAAAGGGTAAGGAAACCAGATCCAATCCTGGAACTGTCCTATGGGGAAGACAGATCTGATTCATGAATCATAGGTGCATGTGAGACCTTCGCCCTGGCAGGTACTATTCAGGAGCAAAAGAAAGAGTGCCCCAGAGAGAAAATAGCATGCACACAGGCCCGACAAGACACTAAGTCAGCATCACCTGATTCTCGAGCCTCATCTCACACTGACCAGAAACTGTGAGGCCAGGGTTAGGGGGGCAGCAATCTGGGCTTCAGTGCACCTGTGGCAGTGATGGCCATGGTGTGGGGGTGTTCCGACCCTCACTTTTGAGAACCATTGCCTAATGCCACTCCAAACATCTTGCAGCCCTGAAGAAATTGAAGTCCTGGTCTGTGGGCAGGAGAAGTGTCCAAAAGACTAGAAGTAGATTAGTGAAGGGATTTTGAGCTTAAACTCTTCAAACCTCTCAAGGAGAGATGTGAACCCAGATCAGACTTGCTGTATCTGGATCTTCAGTGGATGTGGCTTTGGTCTGCAACTGGAGAGCCACGTGCCTTTGCCAAGACCAGATGGATTTGCATGAGCCTGTATCCCACACGCTGAGCACCTTGTCCACCTGATGCCGGAGGAATGAAACATCCCAGTGGATTTGCTAACTTTCCCCCAATTGCTCATGAAATAGAGTATGTTTCTAGTTAATGCCCTTCCATAAAACTTCTTTGGTACATTGTCAAAAGCTTTTGCCTCTTTTGCTAGTGAATTATTCTTTTTCTTATTTAATTTTACATAACTTGTATATTTATCTCTTTTTATATATGCCACATACATTTTCTCCTGCACTGCATAACTTTAAAAAAAAACTTCATTTTGGCATCTTTTCCCAAGAAATAAAAATTTTTAAGTAGTTAGATCTTCATGTCTTCCTTGGTTTTGGCTTTTAGGATTTTTGCCATGCATTAAAAAAATCTTTCTTCAAAGTTACATTATTAAAAAATAGGTTTTCTAAATGTCCAATGTCTCTAGTAATTAGAGAAATGCAAATCAAAACTATCCTAAGATTTCATCTCACTCTATTCATAATGGCAGTTATCAAGAATACAAACAACAATAAGTGTTGGTGAGGATGTGGGAGAAAAGGCACGCTTATACATTGCTGTTGGGACTGCAAAGTGGTACAGCCAATCTGGACAGCAGTATGGAGATTCCTTAGAAAACTTGGAATGAACCACCATTTGACCTAGCTATTCCACTCCCTGATCTATACCCAAAGGACTTAAAATCAGCCTACTATAGTAATGCAGACACATCAATGTTTATAGCAGCTCAATTCACAATAGCTAACCTGTGGAACCAACATAGATGCCCTTCAATAGATGAATGGATAAATAAACTATGGTATATACACACAATGGAATATTACTCAGCATTAAAAGAGAATAAAATTATGGTATTTGCAGGTAAATGGATGGAATTGGAGAATATCATGCTAATCGAAAAAGCCAATCCCCAAAACCAAAGGCCGAATGTTTTCTCTGATAAGTGGATGCTGATCCATAATGGCAGAGCATGGGAAAAATGGAAGTGCTTTGATGGGGAAAAGTGGGGGAGAGTAGGGGAGAGGGCATGGGATTAGGAAAGATGGTAGAATGAGATGGACATCATTATCCTAGATACATGTGGTGTGACGCTACATTGTGTATAACCAGAGAAATGAAAAGTTGTGCTGCAATTATGCAATTATGTACCATGAGTCAAAATGCATTCTGCTGTCACATATACCTATTTAAAATTAATTAATTAAAATAAAAAATCTGTTTTCTTAAAATGTTTTCATAATTTTTATATTTTTGCTTTTCATGATATGTTTGCAATTTTTTTGGTGTGCATTGTATGAAGGCAGGATCTGTTTTTTTTTTTTTTTTCTTTCTCCTGTAAATACCTGAATAGTTACTAGATATGAACGTGAGATAATACCTTGCACTGATCGTCTGGGTGAGAAATGGACACTGTCCAGCTCTGGTGGTAGCGGGGATAGTGAAACAGGCGCTGTGGTGGGAAGTCCCCATAGGGCTGCTCTGCAGTACAGCAGTCTTCCTGCAACACGCCTTCCCCTCAGATCCTAAAGGGCAGTCCTTCTCCTGGGCGTGTTCCTGGAAAACCTCTCACTTGGAGTCCTGAGGGGACACACACGAGGATTCTTGGCAATCGTGGTAGATGCTATAGCAGAAGCAGTTAGTGCCCCTTACTTCTTAAGCACCCAGTACGTACCATTTCTGGGCCATCACCTGCAGTTCTCTGCCAGGGCTTTATCTGGTGCTGGAGGCACCAGAAGAGACACTGAAGGAACTAACTAGATCACACGCCCTCTTCTGGCTCCCTTTGCTCCCTGCCCCATTCCTCCTTGCACTACTAGCGTTTCTAGGGGTCATCTCCCAGATGAGCTACCTCTACCTACCTCCTCATATGTCCTTGCACCCCAGGGCTCCCTCTTAGGAATCCCAGATTAAACATACCACAGAATACAGCAGAGTTGCTAAAAGCAACACACACTCGTGTGTGCACACATGCACCTGGAAGCACAAGCATGTGACTTGCCAACATGGATATAACTTTAAAGCAAAGCACTAGATGACAAAGGTAAGAATCAGAATAAGGTCTTAAAGCACATGCTATGTATGTAAATAAAACACACAGATAACAGTATGCTTTTTGAGGATACGTGTATAACCAAAAATATATATTAAACATATTAGGAAAAGACATAGAATAAACTATAGGGTAGGTGCAAATGCCATGCTGTGAACTGAGGTTTATGGTTTTATGGATGTAGATATTTATGTATATTGTGTTTGCTTATAAACGCATTTTAAAATATTTATAAAATTAAGGGATTAAGAAAAAATAAAAACCATGCCCTTTCTGTTATCCCATGGACAGCTGAAAGTGTTAATTAAGCCTACCATACATACAAATGTGATCCTTCATGTATACTATGCATAGAACGTGACCCGCCTCAATCCATAAACTGAATCCTAATCCCCAGCATCACGGGCTTTGAAGGTGGGGCTCTTGGAGACGATGAGGTCAGGAGGGTGGAGACCTACAGACTTGTATCTTTATAAAATATACTCTAGAGAGCTCAACAGTCCCTTCCACCACGTAGGGGTACAACAAAAAGACAGCAGTTTATGAATGAGGAAGAGAGCTCTCACTAGTCATTGATCTGCCGGCACCTCGATCTTGGACTTCCCAGTCTCCAAAATTGTGAGAAATAAATGTCTGTTATTCATAAGCTTCCCAGTCTATGGTAGTTTTGTAAAGCAGCCTGAACAGACTACAACAACGTCCATCTCTGGACAGTCTTCTGTTCTGGAGGCCCAACTTGACACGTGTACTAATCATTTTCATTCTGGGTTGGGAAGCCTCTGGGCAACACATTTCTTCCTCTTCCCTTACTTCTTCTTTTTGGAGGAGTGGGGGGTACTGGGGATTGAATTCAAGAGCACTCAACCATTGAAACACATCCCTAGCCCTGTGTGTGTGTGTGTGTGTGTGTGTATTTTATTTAGATACAGGGTCTCACTGGGTTGCTTTAGTGCCTCACCGATGCTGAGGCTGGGTTTGAACTCATGATCCTTCTGCCTCAGCCTCCCAAGCCACTGGGATTACAGGCATGCACCACGGCACTCAGCTACCTTACCTCCTCTTGTCTACATCACTGCTCACACAAGATTTTAGAACTTTGGGGATCTAGACCTCTGTTTACCTTGCCACGTTACCTGGGATGAAATTGTGGTCCTGATGCAGAAGGATGGACCTATCCCCGTGTGCCAGCTCAGGGCAGTGGAGTGTAGAGAGTAAATGAGCGTTCCTGAGTTTCCTGTAGGTTCAGATCCTGATTCTAGCTGAGCAAATCTGGTGAGTTAATTAACCTTCTGTCCCTTAGAAGCAATGAGAACTGATGCTTCCGATTACCTGGGATCTTTGTGGACCTTGGCAAGAACGTCCTTGTAAAATGTTTGCTGGAACATCGTACCCGCTCATAAACAGGGCTGCCATACTGTTCTGCAGCTCCGGCTTGATGCTTGACCATCTGTGCCTCCCCCCATCTGTCCTCTTCTTAATAAAGATTTGCCTCAGTTTCCCTTAATGCTTGCTCTAGCTAAAGGCTTGAAGATGCTACTCAAGGTACCATCAACCAGTTGTGCTGATGGGCACTGCACATTTTCCAGCACATTTTGTCATGTTTAGCTTTTTGTTTTCCTGATTCTTGAAATGGGGAATGTAAGGCTCTACTCTCTGCAAAGAGCAACTGTGGGGTTCAAACAAAAGAATAGAGACATGAAAGGCCATTTAAGAGTATTTCCAGAGGTTAGTGAAGGCAGGCCTGGCAATGGTGACCACGATCAGAGGCTCTGTCATCCTCAGTCAGGACCTGAATTAGACTCTGAATCATGGATAGACTCCATTTTATGTATCTGTTTATATGTTGAGGACTCTTCAGATGCTTCTACACTTTGAATTTTTTTTCGTGCATGTGGTTACCCTGAGGACGACAGTTAACACCATAAATTTATAACCCATTAATTTGAATTTATACTAATTTGATTTTAATAACATATACGCTGCACCTTTACAATTCCGTCTCTGTCCTTTTCAGTTACCAATGTCACCAAATCACATGTTTACTCTGTGTCCAAAAACAGGAACTAATGATTGTTTTAAAACGTGTAGAAAACAAAATGTGAAGTTATAAATCCATGTTACAATAATACTTTTAGTCAAATTAAAGTGTTAGTCTTTTAAATCATATAGAGAACAATATGGAGTTATAACTATTGCTAAAATAATACTAGTGTCTATAATTATGAAGTATTTACCTTTACTGAGATTTTTTTTCATGTGTCTGAGCTACTGTCTAGTATCCTTTATTTTATACTACAGAGCTCCCCTAAGTGATTCTTTTTAAAAAAATATTTATTTTTTTAGTTGTAGTTGGACACAATTCCTTTATTTGATTTACTTATTTTTATGTGGTGCTGAGGATCGAACCCAGGGCCTAGCGCATGCTAGGCAAGTGCTCTGCCACTGAGCCACAATCCATCCCTCCCCTAAGTAATTCTTGCAGGGAAGATCAAATAGTAATAAATTCCCTCAGTTCTTGTTTATCTGGAAATATCTTAATTGCTTTCTTATTTTTGAAAGACCATTTTTTTTCTGGATATAGGACTCTTAATTGATAGTTGTTTTTTTTTTTTGGTAAAATTAGTATTTTGAGTATATTTTCTGATGAGAAATCTAATTACTGAGAATCCATGGTATGTAACAATTTGTTTCTCTTTTGCTGCTCTCAAGATTCTCTTTCTCTTTTATTTTCAACAGATTATTTATAATTTGTTTTGGGGTAGATAAGATATCTCTGAATTTATCTTACTTGGAGTTTACTGATCTTCTTGGATATGTATAGTCATATCTTTCATTACACTTGGGAAGTTCTTGTTGTTTCTTCAAATACATTCTCTCTCCATTTTTATTTTTGCTCTTTCCTGGACTCACACTGTGTATGAAGATCTGCTTAATGCTGTGCCACAGGTCCCATAGGCTCTGTTCACTTTTCTTCAATATTTTTTATTTCTGTTCTTTTGACCTAATAATTTTAATTGTCCTGTCTTCAATTTTCCTTCTACCTGCTCAAATCTGTGTTGAATTACTCCAGTGAATTTTTTGGTCAGTTATTGTTCTTTGCACAGCTAGAGTTTCTCTTAAGTTTTTTAATTGATGTTTTTAGTTTGTTCATATATAATTTTCTTCATTTCCTCCATGTCTTCCTTTAGTCCTTGGAACATCTCTATGACAGTTATTTTAAAGTCTTGTGTAGAAGATCTTCTATCTGGTCTTTCTCAGGGAGTTTTCCTTTGAACGAACCATATTTTCCTGTTCCTTGTATGTCATGTGATTTCGTTGTTGTTGGTGGTGGTGTTGAAAACATTTGTTTCTAATAATGTGATATCTATGGAATTCAGGTTCTCCTCTGCCCCGAGGCTTTGCTTTTTCTGTTTTGTTTCCTTATTTTTGTCACTGTGATTGTCATCAGCTGTCTCTGTGCTAAGGATCAACCTGAGGTGTAAAGCTGAGGTCTTTTTAGGGTTTTTTTTTCTGAGCCTATGCCTCCTCTGATCCTGTGTGATCACTTTATACTTTTCCCCTTATGTGAAGTTGTTTTTGTTATAGTAGGAGCAAATGTGACTCCATTTTGTTTTATGACTTCATCCTGTAAAACAACCATGCCAAGTAGAAGAGTCATGACTGGAGCAAGATGTTCTTTTCCTTTTGCTATAGAAACCTTTAAGAACACGGAACTACCTAATGGGGCATTGTTTCTGTAACTAGGGTAACGGGGCTCTGTTTCTGTAACTGGGGTGACTGGGCTAACTGTGATTGGTTAGGCTTCCCTCTGCTTGACTGCACTGTCCCACTTCTGTAACCTGGCTGGCTTGCATTGGCTAGACCCCCTGAACATCCCTTTTGCAGTTTTCAGGCTTATAAGGAGTGCCCTTGCAATTGTTCGGGGCTGATCAGGGGAACAGC